GCTCAGTCAGTGGTTGTGCAATCTTGCCATAGTCTTTGATAAAACGCCGGAAGTAACCAGTCAATCCCAGAAACCCACGAACTCCCTTGACATTACGCGGCTGAGGCCAACTAAGTACCGCTTGAATCTTGGATGGGTCCATTGCTACCCCTTGGTATGAAATGACATGGCCCAAATACTCCACTGATTCCTCTCCAAAGCTGCACTTTTTCTGCTGAGCAACAAGATGGTGTTCCTGCAGTAAAGACAACACCTCTGCCAAATGACACAAATGAGCTTCCCAAGAGGGACTATATACAAGAATATCGTCAAAAAAGACCAGAACATGATGCCGAAGTTTTTCTCTGAAAACAGAATTCATAGTGGACTGAAAGGTAGATGGCGCATTTGTTAAACCGAACGGCATAACAAGATACTCATAATGTCCATCATGTGTACGGAATGAAGTCTTAATGGTATCCTCTGTTTTCACTCGAATTTGGTGAGAGCCAGATTTTAAATCAATTTTAGAAAAGTATCGAGCACCATAGAGTTCATCCAGTAACTCATTGATGGTAGGGATAGGATACTTATCTGGAATGGTGACCTTGTTCAAGGCCCTATAATCCACACACATCCTCCAGGTGCCATCCTTTTTTTTAACGAGAATGACTGGACTGGAAAAGGGGCTAACACTGTGTTTGATCTCTCCTCCCTGTAGCAATTCCTTCACTTGCCTTTCGATCTCATCCTTATGATGATGAGCATACCGGTAGGGCCGAACACATACTGGAGTGGTTCCTGGAATTAAATTTATGGCATGGTCGTGCTCTCGGAATGGAGGCAGCCCGTGTTTCTTGGTGAACACATCCTGGAATTGAGAAAGCACTCGTGTAAGGGCCAAATATTGCTCTTCAGCCAGATGGGTGGCTAACTGAGCACCAGGTGCTTGGATCCCCTTAGTCAGATCTGTCTCTGCCGCTTGCAACAACCCTTTCAACGCTATGGGTTGTACCCCAGTACGAACCTGATACCCACGAAGCATAATAGTTTTTCCGTGATGGGAAAATTGCATAGTCTTTCTTTTCCAGTCTTGACACACCTCTCCTAGGGTCTCCAACCACTCCATCCCCAAGATTAGGTCAACTCCTCCCAAATCCAGAAGGTAAGCTCCTATCGTCAAGCGGTACCGCCCCAATTGAAGGCTGAGCGCAGTACATCTGCCTTTGGAAATCCTTTGACTGCCATCTCCCAAACAAACGCTGAACTCCTTGGTGTTGTTGATCGATAAGTTAAGCGAATCAACTAATTCGGGTGCGATAAAATTATAGCTCGCTCCACTATCAATCAGCACAAGAATAGGAAAACCCTCCAACTCCCCTTCGATTTTCATGGTTTTGGCCTGAAGAGCAGCATCGTTCTCTGGTACAGAATGGTTTCCATTTTCGCAGCTAACAGAGTTGCAAACCAATTCCCAATCTTCGTTCCCTTCCTTTTCATTCGTAGTGAATTGTGCGTTGGAGTCCTCTACGACGTCGTCCTCCTCTCCGATTAACAAACGCAGTTGCTTGTCTGGACATTGGTGGGTTGGGCTAAAGTTTTGCCCACACTTAAAACAAAGGCCCTTGAGCCTTCGCTCCATCATTTCGTGATAAGGCAAGTTCCTGACCCCTTTAAAGTTGGACCCATGTCTTCTATCACCGGTTTTATTGGGCTTGTCCTCAGGTTTAAACATTTGGGCCTGGGTCCCATTAGATGCAAACTTATTTGGAATACGCTCACCTGTGTTAGAAGGCACAGAAACCACTCCGCGGCGAAACGGATTCGGGTCACGCGGTGGCGGCTTCCATTTTCCCCCTTGTAGCTTACGCTCCACCATCTTGGCCAACGAGATCAATTTGTAACGAGTTTGGGGTTCAAGGGAGAGCACCTCGAGTTTAATCTCGTCCTTGAGGCCACCTGCAAACAAACCCATATATTGTTCGTCAGGCAAAGGGGAAATCTGAGCCGTCAACATTTCGAAAGCTTCGACGTATTCATCCACCGTTCCTTCTTGTAGCAGTCCTTTTAATTGAGTAAAAGGGTTTCCAAAATGGCCGTCCCCATAGCGATCAAATAAGGCATGTTTAAATCGCTCCCAATCCAGCTGTGCATCAGATTCTTTAAGCACCTTGAACCAGTGCCATGTGGATCCTTCCATGCAAATTTGAGCGTATGGGATACGCATTGTTGGTGGGGTCCTTTGGACAGCAAAATATGCTTCGGCTCGAGCAACCCATCCTACTGGGTCCGTTCCAGAGAACACTGGAAGCTCAATCCGCTTCGCTTTAATGCGATAGTCGTCTCCTTGATGTGTACCGTGAGCCACCGTAACGGGGCTTTCGTTGTCACCAACTTTCGCGACTCCCTTGTGTTTGGGTGTCTGACTGCTTTCGGCCGTAGTAATCATCGGAGTTTCTGAAAATGGTTGACGATGCTGGAATCCCTCGCGGACCTCTATGTGTAACGTTTGCAAACTCTGTGCAATTTCTGCAACACTATTAACCAAGGCACCCAACTTAACGGAGTGATCCGAAAGTTGACCAGAGTGACCCTTGGATGTTACATCCTGTGATCTAAGAAGCGCTTCCTGGGATCGTAGTGAGTTTTCTACCGCTGTCAGTCTCGCGTCAAGCAAATCGATTTTTTGAGAAGTCATTCTGGTAAGCATAAACAGCTCTCAATGAAAGCACCAATTTGATAGAACTAAACTCTTCTATCAATTAAAGATGGAGAAACTTTGTATATTAATGGAAAAAGGGAAAAACAATTACAGGAATTTATAACAAGAAAAGATAATGAGCCAGAGCTCCCAGCTATGGAGATCACTCCAACAGCCCTTCTACACAGTAGAAATTAACTGAAACAAATGCATACCCCACTCTCCTCTCATCCCCCCTCATATAACAATCCAAAAGCAAAATAGCAAATTGCACTCGTCATTCTCTCACTATAACTGCCCACACAAATCTATTACACATCACCCCCTTTTCTTTCCCTATTCCTCCTATAGTAAACCAATGTTGGTCCAGTCCTCTTCCCTTGCTTGTCTTGCATCTCTGCTTCTGTTGTATTTGGGCCTGTTACAGCTGTGGTGTTTGGGCCTGTTACAGCTGTTGTGTTTGGGCCTGTATTCAGGTTTGCTGCATCATTCAAGTCTGGGCTTTCAATCATCCTATCAGAATCAAATCAACCTAAAAGTTTAAGCTTTTGAAGGGTGAACAATGCACAAAACTTTCTATGTGTGCTAAAAAACTCTATAATATTCGATTTTTTATTAATAGAATGGGATAATAGTGATTGAACTCATGAACACACTTGGTAATATAAGCTCTCTTTTTTTTGGATATATTGAGGAATTAAACACACAATTTGTTATATAACTACCTACACCCCTCACGACTAGGCTAACCCTAGCGGCTTCTAGTCATAAAAGCTCTGATACCATGTAACAAATTATTTCAACCCAACAAGGCATTAAACCACATTAATGGTTTTGAGGAAGCCAAGTCACCTATAGTTTTTCAGAAGTTGAAGCTTATGATAGAATTCCTTCAGGGTTATGCTCATTAATATGATGAATGAAAGGTCCTGGTTTTAAGCCAAGTATTGCGAATATTGGAGTTTCAGGTGTGATCACATTGATCTTTACATGGTCAAGGATATCCAAAGAGGCTGGTCTAAAGCCTAATAGGGATACTGTAGAATTGGGTTGTTTCACAGGACTACCATTTTCATCTCCCAAATGACTTGGATTGCTCATCTCAATTTCTTGAATCACTTCCATTGGTAAATGTGAGCAACCTTCAAACTGAACTTTAATTATATTTATGAAATTATCATAGCACATATTTACATTTTTATTTTTCTATTCCTTTTGAGTGAGAGAAACTTAAAATTTTATAATGGGTATAGAAAATACAGTTATCTATTTTTTGTATCTTATCATTATTGTCAATGATTGTTGATTAATGGTCATGAATCTTCTTTGATAAAATACTATCCTCTAACTTGTTTATGGGGAATATCTTTGCAATGCAAATTACAGTCCATGGTTTGCTATTGAATTCCTTTATTTTATTTTTTTTATTTTTAAATATATCTTTTTAGTTTGGATTATCTTTGTAATCTAATTGTGTCTACACCGTTTTTACAATTTATTTTTTTCAATTACCTTATTCTTTAAGTTATTTCTTATTATTATAATACTGATTATTAGTTGTATCTCCTGTTCTCCTTTATTGGATAATTTTTGTCTTTTATATTGAAAAATAAGTTGTAATATAGTGTAGGCAAAAATGGATTACATATTCTTAAGATAGCCACAAAATAAATCATATAAATAACAAATTAATTTGTGACTTTAAAAATGTTAGAGTTTTGTGACATTGTGCAAGTTTTCTTTCAATAATCCGAACATATAGTGAACCGTATTTTATTGCTTTTTTAAAGAAAATAAATGAAAATTGAAACATCAATCCAATACAAATTATTTTTAGATTGAATTTGATTTGAATTTAAATCAAAATTGATTAGACGATAAATAAAAATCTTATGCAATTTTTGTTTTTGTTTTTGATAGATAACTAGTATCCGAAACCTTAATGGACCTATTAATTCGGTTTTAAATTTGAGAGTCTTCACTCCGTAGTAACTTTTCTTTTAGAGATCACTCTAATCCAATCTGCAAATCCTTTTAAGTACGGTATCCCAATGAAATGCATCATCATCATTATCAAAGGAAAAATAATAAGTAGCTAAAAAAGTTACTTAAAATGCACCATCATGTGTCATTTATACACTCAAAGAAGGGAATATGAAAGATAGTACATTTACAAAGGAGTATAAATTTATTTGCAGGTACTTTTTCTTGATACAAAAGGATAATCTAAATTACAATAAGCCACATTGATTCATGCAAATATAAAGTAGGAACTGTTTGTCTGATAAGAGGAAGTAGTTTGTAATTCAGGGCATGCAGCTTATAAATGACACAAGCTATTCATAAATTCAGCAATGTTTTTATGAGAACTTCCACCTTCACCAACAGCCCCTGCAGCTAAAGTCTTCCATTTAATGGCATTCCTCTTTATTTCTTTGCTACTCTCACTCTCCATAATTTCCTGTATAGAATGCTTTAGTGCTTCTCTTCTCACAATCTTTTTCTCATCAAATGGGGCTCTAATTCCCATTTTCCAAACATCTACAATATGCTTAGCATTGGTGCTTTGGTCTGACCATAGTGGCATTGCAATGGTTGGGACTTCTAAGCACAAAGCTTCTAATGTGGAGTTCCAACCACAATGTGTTACAAAGCATCCTATAGCTTCATGAGCTAGAACTTTTAGCTGGGAGCACCATGTCACCACTAAGCCTTTCTCTGATTTCTTTTCAAAATCTTTGGGTAGCTTAATCTCTTCAGAGGCTCTCACCACCCACAAGAAGTAACTCACACACTCTCTCAAACCGCAAGCTAGTTCCTCCATTTGCTCCTCGTCAAGGGTGACTATACTCCCAAATGACACATAAACAACAGATCCTTTTGGCTTACCATCTAGCCATTCTATGCATTCTTCACTCTTAAATTGTGCAAAACCATAATCTTGGTCATCTTCATATCGCTTGTCTAAGAACATAGATGGTATGTTTGGTCCTATGGTCCGAAATTTTGGCCAAAGATTCTTCATCCAATCAGCAATCTAAAAGCAATTTCCAGTTACCAAACATTAGAGGCTGAATTTGGGGGGGAAATTAAAATACAAATGAATTAAGATAAATATATTTTTTATGTAGGTTTGCATTTGATGCATATTGAAAGATTGCACAACACAAGTGGTTGAGTTATAGAACAACTTTTTGTGTTACTAGCAAATCAAAGGCAATCATAATCTTTTACACTACTAGCAAATCAAAGGCAATCATAATCTTTTACACTATCACCCCATCATGTATTGTCAAATTATCAAAAGAAGTTTGATTCTCCTCCTCAAAAGTCACTGTTTTAATAATTTTCCAATTCATAATTCAGTGTTAAATATAAAAATTTAGTCTCTAACCTCTTCATGCAGCTCATAGAATGTATTGCATAGGACCCAATCAGCTTTGTCTATATTGGAGAACTGACCCTCTAACAAATGAAACAAAGCTGGATTTTCTGTGTATGTAAAGAAGAAAGAAGGCATGTCTTCAAGTTGAAGTTTGGGCAAAGCAGGAAGTGAAATCTCATGCCCCATGAGGGGAACTTGCAACTTTCCCAAGAGTGCATGATAGTATATGCTATTAACTGGCAAATTTTGAGTTAGAAAAGCAGCACCAACTATCCCAAATCTCTTAGTAACATCTAGTACCCAAGGGAAGAATGCATCATAAATAACACAATCAACAGGGTTTCCTAATCTACCAAGTTTCTCAAGAAGCTCTACAAGAGTCTCTGGACCCACTTGCCAAAATTTATCCATGTAGGCCTTAAAGTTACCAGCTTCTTTTTCACCACCTTTGTCAAATCCATCAGAAATGGTTTCAAGTGCAATGCTAGCTGGCAATTTTTGCAAGTTCTTGCAAAAGAAACGAGTGGAAACTAGTGTTACTCTCACCCCTTCATGTTCCAAAAGCTTGGAGAATTGAAGCATGGGATTTATGTGACCTTGTGCTGGATATGCTAAGACCACACAATGAGCTCTAATTGTTATGCTTTTCTTCTCCATTTCCATTTCCATGATGAACAAAAAAGCAATTAACTAGTATTGATCACAATGAATAGTTGAATTGGATTTGCAAAGTAAACTAACTAGTACTCATGAACCCATGACAAGAAAAGTCAAGATTTATATTTTAAATAATTCAATGATTGCCAAATGCAGATTCCTTGTTACACATAAACGTAATGAAAAAGGACGAGATACGAAAATGAAAGATAACACAGTTTTTATTGATGTTGCTTTGTACGTTGGATACATTATAGGGTGGTCCACAATAAATGCTTATGATGAAAGCATTATTTTTTAATTTATATATTTCTCATAAGATTGATTTTTTTTTTTTTTTAAGTCTTAAACTCTGTCTAACCTAATTATCTACGTCATCTATTGAATTATTGATAGTATATTATTCCTATTATATAAAATAAAATGTGCTGGTGAATACGTTTATTCTTTGTTTAAGCCACTAGTAATATAAAACCTTGTAATTTTAACCATTATAAAGTAGGAGAATTATATACCTCTCGTAGGTAGGAGGACCACTTATAATTAAATACATGTTACCCTAAAATTATTAAGTACGTTTTGTTGTCTAGATTATAATATAATCGTATTTTATTATTAACTTGAATATTATTACAGGCACCTACCTTTTCTTCACCATACTCCCCACCCTGTCATCACATTTTGACGACATCAAAACCAACAAACTAGACAGGACAATTAGTAGAGAGTAAAAGGGTAAAAGGGTAAAAGTGATAAAATCCCTCTACCTTTCATCAACATAAAATAACATGTTACCCAATCGATTATAATAATGAATAACATTTTTTTTTATCCCATAACTAATCTCTTACTATGTGTTTGATCCCACGAAGATAAAAAAATTGCTGTTGGATTTGAGAGTTAACGATATTTATGGGAAAAACAGTAGTAGGTGCACCATAGATCACTCTATAAAATGAGTAGATAGCTAATGGGTAATATGTGTGCCGCGGAAATACTATTCTCCAGGAAAGAGAGAGAAAAAATAACGAAGTGAGAGAAAATATTTGGTATGGACCTATCTTATTCCCTGCAGAAATATTATTCACCTTTGCAGCATGTATGCAAACTTCATTTCCCTATGTGTGCACGTTAATAATAAGTGTTCTGGAATGAACATTAATTGTCTAGCATGATAGCTAGTATTTGTATCTACGTAGCTTATGGTAAAGATGACAGGCAATGAGAAGTCCTGCACCTTAGGCCAAAGTCCGATGGGATGAACAAGGGGTGTGTGTGAGTCACCTGCGGTGGAGAGGATGTGCTCTGGGCACAAGTATGTAGGTTGTAGCCATGGTGGCCAGGATAAGTTATCAGATGAGTTCCAAGATGAGTCCGTAGATACAAATACTAGCTATCCTGCTAGACAATTAATGTTCATTCCAGAACATTTGGCGCCGTTTGTGGGAAAAGATAAATTTTTACTCCCACAACCATGTTCAAAGGCATAGAGACAAAGACAGCAAGGAAGCGCAGTCAGCATATTCGAAAGAACCGCTTCACACCATTAAAAAAGCCTACTTCGCGTTCGCAACACCTAACAGGAAAGAAGGAAATTATTCTTTGACAAGATCACAAGGAGATTATTCTTTGACAAGATCACTAGACTGGAGGAACTTGGAACCCCAACTAAATTGTACCACTACTCCAATGTTAGAAAATGAAAGTTGTTGGGTAATGCGCCAGATGTGGTTACAAGAAAGCTCCATACAGGTCCTTGCATAGAGCGGAACTCGGAACACTAATCAATTGCACCACTACTCTAATGCTAGAAAATAAAGGTCATTGGACAACCTACGAGTAACCAGGGGGAAACATATCTACCAGCATCATAAGTCACGAATAAAGCAATCATAATCCGGCTACAAATAAAAGTCCCTTGCCGCCTTAAATGGCTTCTTGGGCACCCGTTCAATTCCTACTCGGAAGCGGGAAGCTAAAGTCCCTTGCCGCCTTAATTGGCCTCTTGGGCAGCCGTTTAATTCCTACTCAGAAACGAAAAAACAAAGTCCCTTGCCGCCTTAATTGACCTCTTAGGCAGCCGTTCAATTCCTACTCGGAAACGGGAAAACAAAGTCCCTTGCCGCCTTAATTGGCCTCTTGGGCACCCGTTCAATTCCTACTCGGAAGCGGGAAGATAAAGTCCCTTGCCGCCTTAATTGGCCTCTTGGGCACCCGTTCAATTCCTACTCGGAAGCGGGAAGATAAAGTCCTTCGCCGCCTTAAATGGCCTCTTGGGCACCCGTTCAATTCCTACTCGGAAGCGGGAAGATAAAGTCCCTTGCCGCCTTAAATGGCCTCTTGGGCACCCGTTCGATTCCTACTTGGAAGTGGGAAGATAGAGTCCCTTGCCGCCTTCAATGGCCTCTTGGGCACCCGTTCAATTCCTACTCGGAAGCGGGAAACAAAAGTCCTTTGCCGCCAAAAGAAGACCGGCCCTCCGGGATAAAAATGGCTTAATAAAAGAAGACCGGCCCTTCGGGATAAAAATGGCTTAATAAAAGAAGACCGGCCCTTCGGGATAAAAATGGTTTATTAAAAGAAGACCGGCCTTCCGGGATAAAAATGGTTTATTAAAAGAAGACCGGTCCTCCGGGATAGAAATGGTTTACTAAAAGACCTTTGGGCACCCTTATTTTTCCTAATTGGAAGCAAGAAAATTATTGAACATTTGATTCTGAAAGATCCTAATCAGCGCGCAAGACATGATCATATAGGGTTCTCACACTTTACTCAGCTTCAAACTCAGAAGCACTTACAAACCCGGAGACGACTACAACCAACGAGCAACACGATAAAGCAACTTAGAACTCGGAAGCATTCGCAAGCTGGGTTTTCCCGACATTCATATCCTTTTTCACAACACTAAACATTCTTTGATAGGCACGGGGGCTTTACTTTTACCCCGGCATTCCGACTATGCGCAATGCCAAGCTGGGGGGCTTATGTTGTGGACCACTTATGTGGTACCCACTTCCTATCCCCACTACATGGAGCATCTCATTCCACCATTCTCTCCTAACTCCCATCTACTAGCAATAACCACCCACTAGCATTGCATCATGCCATTAAGTCACCTGCAAACTACCCACTAGGGGCACAATCTCCTAGTGCATTCATCTATATATAACCCCTTATAGCTAACAAAGAGGGGGATCTGATAACTCATCTAGGAACTCATCTAATAACTTATCCTGGCCACCATGGCTACAACCTACATACTTGTGCCCAGAGCACATCCTCTCCACCGCAGGTGACTCACACACACCCCTTGTTCATCCCATCGGACTTTGGCCTAAGGTGCAGGACTTCTCATTGCCTGTCATCTTTACCATAAGCTCCGTAGATACAAATACTAGCTATCCTGCTAGACAATTAATGTTCATTCCAGAACAATAAGTAAGGTTGGAATTTCAAATGGCTTACATGTGGGGTGAGCTCCCTTTATAGAGATTTTGTTATTTAAAAATGGTTTAGTGTTTGTCATGTTATATGAGATAAATTTATCTCTTATACATATATAAAAGAGTGTGGAGTTTATATGAATCCATCCCATGTGAAGTATAATAACCCTCACCTAAATTAAATACTAAATTGCATTGGGTTAAGTATTTAATCATAGAGGTAGGATATTCATACTACCAAATTTTTTTACTACCACTCTAATCACCATTGGATTAAAAGAAAAGTTGAATGAAGAGAGAGAAAAGAAAAACAACTTTTGAATCCAATGGTGATTAGAGTGGTAGTGAAGTGGTAGTAGAAAAATTTGGTAGTATGAATATCCTACCTCTTAATCATATATAATCAAATTAATTAAGTGAGAGGCTTAATATAAAGGTTAGATTAAATATTAATAAAGCACACTGTAGATAAAATAAGTGGGAATATGATATGCATCCAGCATATGGGTAAATCCAAGCCAAAAAGAGAAAGAATATTGGTTAATCTTAAGTAAAAAAGGCAATATTTACTGTTGATCTGTTAAAATCTCAATCAGAGATTGTACAACTGATTTTATGTTGATTTCGTAGGAAAAACAGACAAACTGGAGCTCAATGGGAAAATACCAAAAAGAAGGCCACGCTGATAACGTGAGTGTGGCGCTGACAACATGAAGGAGCCCTTTCATACAGAGACATCCACGCTACTAGCGTGGAACTCACGCTAGTAGCGCCAGAGTTAATGAACAGCCCGAGACATCCACGCTACTAGTGTGGAACTCACGCTAGTAGCGCCAGACCTTCCTGCAAGCCACGCTCACAGCGTGGGAACCACACTAGTTGCGTGGAACTCCAGTATTGTGAACAAAACTCCCACGCTCATCTTTTTCAGTATCAGCGGAAGATTAAACAGAGATTTTAAACGAAGATTCAATCAAAATTTCTACACAAGGTCAAAAACTCTATAAATAGAGACTCAGACCTCAAGAGAAAACAATCTTTTGGCTGGAGCAAATTGCGAGGATCAGAGAATTGAGAGAATCTTGGAGGCTCACGCTGGAGATCAGGATTCCGACAGAGTTGAAGACCGGAGATCATTGATTCTTCTTATTCTTCTTCTCATTCTTCTTTATTGCTTTTATGAATTCTTTTTATTTTAATTTGTTTAAGCCAGCTATGTCTGGCTAGTTTGTTTTTGTAGTTGGGATCACGGACCCAATGTGAATCCTTTATAGTTTCTGTATTGATATTTTATAAGTTAATTAGTTAGTTTGTTTTATTTTACCTGGTTTAATTTTTCATATTCTGTTTAGAACTGATCACTCTAAATTATAGGGCTTTGAGGGTTAGAATTCACAATAGACATATTGAGGTTTTAATCTGGACAAGGGTAGAATAACAATTTGTGTATGATCTAGACATAGGCTTACATAAATTGCAGACTCATAATTCATTTGCTTAATGCTTAATTCAAGAGGGATTACTAAGACATTAGAATTATGATCCGGGTTAAAGGGTTAAAATCACTAAGACATTAGGGTTCAACTATTTTATAGGGAAATAATGAATTGTCTAAGCAAACGAATTAATTATTTATAAAATACAATATAGGAATATAAGAGAGGATCGGAGGTGAAGTGTGTCCTGGCTATAGTTTTCTTATAAATTTTTCATCAATCTTCTTTCGCGTTCTTGATCCTTTCTTGCATGCGTTCAAATTCCATTGTTATTTAAATTATGTTTTTAAATTTAATTATTTTGAAATTCTGTTTAGAATTTTCCAAACTATTTCACAACACAATCAACTTTTCTGTTCCAAATTAAAGGGAATAGTTAGACTAGTACTTGGTGCCTCAATCCTTGTGTGAACCATACTTTTCTTATCACTTTATTACTTGGAATGATCGGTATACTTGCCGAGTTCGCAACAGAATACTTAGTCAAATCAATATGGAGTGGTATTTGCGATTAAATATTTAATCATGAATTATTGAGTTTAATTAGGTAAAGGGCTTAATTAAAAGAATTAAAGTCACTTTTGGGGTAAAAAGTGCAGTTAGTAAAAGTTTTGGGATAAAAATGTGTGTAGTCAAAATTATCCGGAACCTAAAAGTAAGTTGGGGATATTACTATAAAAATATTTCGAGCCTATGTGACCAGTTTAGAAAAGAGTTAAGGTAACAAGATAGATAAATTTTTACTAGTTGAAAGTTATTTAATTAAAGTAAGTGTTATAACTTAGAAACCCTTCACAATTCATCTTCATCGTGTGACCCACGTAAACCATAGGAGAGAAGCTTGATTTTGCATCTTTCTCATTTCTCAACCAAATCACTTGAGACTTGAAGCAAAGTTTCTTAGAATTGTGAGATAAACATAACCTATAATCCATAATTTATCAAAAAACTTTGTATTGAGAGAAAAATGGAAGGAAAAGTGGTGACCCATTGTTGATTAGAGAGCTTGGAGTGTTGTTTGATCACATTGGAGACTTGAAATCCACTCCCTAGGTGATTCTAAGACTACCCATGGTAAGAAATCCTAACTTAGTTCAAGTTTTATGGATATTGGATTTCTAGGTTTTTCTATGAAATGAGTCTTTGAATGAGGTAGTTAGAGCTTGATTGAGGCTTATGCCAAGTTGGGAAAAGTGTTTAGATGATGATTTTAATGGTGAAAATGTATTTGGAAGATCATTTTACTCATCTTCATAAAATTTCAAAAATTAGGCCTAGATAGTGCGAATTCTTGCATTTCAAGTAATGTGACTTGGATTGTTGGTATTGATTGTGTTCATTGTGCTTCTAGGTTGGAGGCAAGTGGACTTATCTTGAATGATCAAGCATTGGAAGAGCCAATTGAACTTGATATTGGCACATAAGTTATTTCAAGTGAAGGTGAGTTCATGACCATATAAATGGTGTATGTAATTCCTTGTGTTGGTTGTGAATATATGTTGATAATCACATGGTTGCAATTGATAATGTGTTGATGTTGATTGCATTGTATCATATCAAGTAGGTGATTATTTGGCAAGTTATTGATTATTGCATAGAGAGCAAGCTAGTGGTTGTGGAACTTTGGTGCTTGGACCAAGCATTAGGTAGGAAGCGTTACAAGGTAAGCTTTCAGACTTTGGGATTTATCCATTTGTTGTTCCACCAAGTCTCGAGAGGATTGAGGTATATGTGGATATGTAAGTGTATGAATTGTGAGATATAGCATTTTGTGTATATTGTTTTATGTGTCATACAAGACGGTTGCTTCCTTGCGTAGTGCATACGTTGTAGATCTCTGGCCAGTAGATTCATTATTTCACACATTGCATTGTTACATATTTATATGTTTTATTGTCATAATGGCCTGCTTTTATATCAAGTGGACTTTAGGGTGGAGAAATCCTCTAAAGACCCTTAGTTTACTGAGATATATATGTAATTCTCACCTCGTGTTGTAGGGACCCCTTTCAGGTACAGATGATGTGGGAGCATCCGATGGTAGGAGGCCAAAGTAGACTGCATATGTAGATGACATGCTTAAACATATTTTTGGAATTACCCTATATATGTTAGATGAACATGTATAGGATTTACATTTGATAGCCATATTTACATCATGCTTTATTTTGGTGGACTTAGCCTATGCTCACCTCCCTTGGTATCTCATGTTGTTGAAGGGAGCCAAGGATTTGAGCATAGTATTTTGTAGCTAAGTTCCATGGTTATGTATTAAAGACATTGGACATTGTGTAATATTGTACTTGTTGTATATACGATGGAAGAGCCTGGATGCTTATTTTGATAACATGTGAACCTTAAAATGGTAAGGATAATGTATTGTAGTAGTTATACAATGTCAAATAGGTGAAAAGATACCATGTCTTGTGGTCCATTTTTCTTATATGATAGATTTGGATCTTTTGGACTTATTGGAAGTTATAGATCTTTTTCTTAACTTTCCAACGAGACCAAGATTGCATCAATCAGATAAGTATAATCTAAGTTATGGATGAAATACCAAAGTAGGTTGAAATTCTCTGTTTTGGAGTCTACCTCCAGACCTGCAGCGCTTTTGGTGCTGTGGTGGCACTAATAGCACCGTCAAACAGTGGGTTGGCATAGGGGTGGCAATATGAGGTGAGCCCGGCAGGTCAACGCACTAACACACCAAAACGAGGCGGGTTGGGTTGAGGTTTTCAACCCAGCAACTCACTTTGACTTGCCCCGCCTAAAAGTTGGTCAAAACAGGTTCAACCTGTCGTGGGGCGGGTTAACCCGCCGGGTTATATTTTTTTTTTATATACAATTAAGTAGTATTTCATTTGTCATTAAGTTTTTGTAATATGTAATTTTTTTTATCTTAGTACTCTTTAAAAAAATAAAGAATAAAAATTTTATTTATGACAAATGTTTAACTGAATATTAGTATACAATTAAGATTAAGACTGAAAAAAATTAAGAGAAATGTGAAATAAAATAAAATAATATTAAAAAAATTCATATAAAGTATAATTTATTTTTGAATTTTAATTAATTTTTTTAATTGGCGGGTTGGTGGGTTGACCCGCCAACCCACCATAAAATGGGGTGAGTTCATTTTTTCAACTCATATTTGATGGCGAGCCAGCCCATATTACCACCCCTAGGTTGGCGTTGCTAGCGCCAAGTTGGTGCTAACGGCATTGAAAGACCGTGGAAAATTCACTTTCTAGCGCTATCAGCGCCAGGCCATGTGAAATTCAACACATTTTTCTTTGAAAATTCATAACTTGAGCTACAGTGCTCCAAATTGAGCGCGATTTGAACCCACGCACAACTAACGAAGAGATCTATAATATAGTGAGAGATGAGTAGTATAGAGGAGCTATAAAATTCCTGGAGTAATTAAAAAGTGAAGATATTTATGTTGAATATGAATAAAAATGAGTTTTAATCCTTGTTGGATTAAAGAAACTATTTGGCGCTTTGTGGGAGTGATGTATGGCATGGTTAGATAAACCTTAGGTGTTCCGCATATGTTTTAAGCTATGATTACAACTTTTGAAATTGTTTTAATTACGAAATTGATTTAAAACAGAAACGTTTATTAACACAAAGAAGAAAAAAATTATTCATATTTTAATTCAATTGTTGTGATTGTAACCGCGCTTAATTTCATACATAATGTTAACAAACTAGTTCTAGAATGGGATGTTACATGAAAAAAGAAAAAAAAAACATAGGCACAATATAATTATGTCTGTATAAGAGAAACACTATACTCATTTACAAATGAGTTGAGCCAATTTCAGATAGCGAGCTTGAAGCCCATAATGTATGTCCCAAAAAATATATGATTTAGTCCCGACTCAGAATTAGTCACATAGCAAACTAAAAAAATTAAGGCATGTGAGAATAACGGAAGCCAACTTGTCTCAAATATATAAGGGATAAGATATTGTGACACCCAAGTTATGTTACACCCATGTGACACCCAGTCAATCTCACCGTTAGATCGCTTACGTTGATCAAACGGTTATATTTATTTCCATCTTTGTATGGTCATGATTTCCCAAATTTAATATTTTATATTTATTTCTACCTTTGTATGGTTATGATTTCCCATATTTAATGCTTTCACTTTAAATTTGGGAAATCATGACCATACAAAGATGAAAATAAATATAACCGTTGGATCAACATAAGCGATCTAACGGTGAGATTGACTGGGTGTCACATAACTTGGGTGTCTCAATATCCTATCCCTTTTAGAAATTATCATTACAAACTTTGTTTTAATTAATTTCATTTTTAAAAAAAGCTAGTTAGTAGCATAACAAAACCAAAATCGCTGCCCATTTCTCCGTCTTGAGGTCACTGTGGCTCTTCTCCATTGCCGTTTTGTTTCCCCTTTCTATATTTCCATACAAACCCTACTTTGGCTTTCAGTTCCCAGTTTGTCCCAAATTGAAAACACCCAATCGACGCAATGTCCGATTCGATTCTTCTCCTTGCGTTTCTGAACCTGGCATTGTTGTGTAGCGTAGCGAATTCGATGAGGTTCGAGCTGCAAACGGGTCACACCAAGTGCATATCAGAAGACGTTAAGAACAATGCCATGACCGTAGGCAAGTACAGTGTCGTTAATCCCAATGAAGGTTACCCAATTCCTGATACCCACAAGATCGTTGTTAAGGTAAAGCTCATGATCCCATCGCCAAACCCTAGTTTGAATGTGTGCCAATTTGGGTTCATTTTATTCTTTCTTTGACTATGAATTAACCTTAAAAAGTGAAAAAAAGATGCACTTTTTAAAGTCTAAAGTAGGAAATGTATTAGAACCAATAATAATAATAATAATAAATATTAAAGAAAAAACAAAAACTCAAATGGGACAGCTGTACTAGGTTTCATGATCGTTTATGTTTTAGTTTGAGTTATATAAGGTTTCTGAAATTTGAATGTTTCACACTTGTTGTGGATAATATGGAATCCTCTGGCTTGTGTGGAGAGGATTGACTTTGTTATTATAATGTGTGGTTGCAAGGTGACTTCGCCTTATGGGAACAGTTATCACTATGGGGATCATGTGGATTCGGGTAATTTTGCATTTACTGCAGCTGAGGCCGGTGACTACATGGCTTGCTTTTGGATACCGGATAGCAAGGCGGCCGCATCAACTATAACCATTGAATTTGAATGGAGAACTGGGGTTGCTGCCAAAGACTGGTCCAAGGTTGCCAAGAAAGGGAAGATTGAAGTAAGTAGTATTATTATGTTCCTTGACTTGGCATTAGTATATCTACGATAGGTAATTTGTTATCATCAAAGCATTTTAAGTCTGCCTATGTCATGCTTTGTTGCAAATTGTTATGTCGCGGGTCCCAAGCCTTGATATTGAGGAAGGTTGTATCAGGAAGCTGGCTGCCAATGTAAAACTTTGTTGAATATCTATTACATTGATCATTGATACAATTGTGCTAAACTTTATGAGAAACTATTAAAAAACGTTGCTCTCTAAATGGATTTATTGAAAATTTTGATTTTTTATAGAGAGTCCAATGGCTTTGTTTGAACCATGTTGGCAACCCCACCTAGTGGATCCACTTACAACTCCTTTAGAAATATTTCCAGAATAGTATTTTTTCCCGTTTATCAAATACTTTGCACATTGCCCAATAAGTTATTGCATGCTCTTTTAATAGTTTCGGAAACCTGCTATATTATGAACTAATACTATGCTGCTGTTCTCCCATTCTATCTGGTAGAGGTGTTCGTGGTCTGGATTGGATCGGTTTTGGAAGCAAAAATCATCCGATCCAATCCCTTCGGTTTGGATTTTTTTTCAAATTCGATCCGATCCAATCCAATTTTTTTCGGTTTGAATTGGATCGGTTTTCGGTTTTTTAAAAATCCTAAAATTTAGTTCATGATTATTGTGGAAATCACATCTTTTGTATATAATGACTTTGTAAAAAAAATAATTTGAAATACAAAAGCATTAGTAAACTATAATATAGGTTTTTTTTTTTGGCAATAAGATATGAAGCTCTACAAAGATAAAATTTTGTTGATGAGATGTGACTATATTTTTTTTGGGTTTAGTTGATGGGTTAATAGGTCTTTGATTTAGAAATTTTTGAACTATGATTGGGAAAAGACCCAATTAGGTAGAGGAAAATTAATATATTGGATCGGTTTTCATCAACCCATCCAAAAAGCGATCCAATCCAATTAAAATTTGCGATTTTTTTTCGGTTTTTGGTTTTTCGGTTTTTGGTTTATTCGGTTATCGGTTTTTCGGTTCGGTCACTGCGGTTTGAATCGGTTGATGAACACCCCTACTATCTGGAATGCACTGATACAGAGTTGTGTCTTGCTTTGATTGGCTACTAGTTGGAGATGAGAATAATATTAGTATAGGGATAATTGTAAAGAACCTTGGGATACACCACCCCAAAAGCTAGCTCAAAGGGTGGGAGTGCCTAAGGCCTTATAAACTCCACATTAGTTGCACATACAACCAGTGTGGGACTATATATCTCAACACGCCCCCTCACGCAAGAGTCCTCTTGGCTTGAAGCGTGGATTATGCAACAGGTCCAATCTTTGGTTTACCTTTTTGTGCTTCCACTTTGAAGTGGGGGGCGGCGAGACTCTGATACCATGTAAAGAACCTTGGGATACACCACCCCAAAAGCTAGCTCAAGGGGTGAGAGTGCCCAAGGCCTTATAAAGGCCATATTAGTTGCCCATCCAATCAATGTGAGACTATATATCTCAACACGCCCCCTCACGCAAGAGCCCTTTAGGCTAGAAGCGTGGAATTGCACAGACCCATTTTTGGTTTACCTTTTTGTGCTTTTTTTTTTTATTTTAATTCCACTTTTTAAAGCGGGGGACGGTGAGGCTCTGATACCATGTAAAGAACCTTGGGATACACCACCCCAAAAGCTCCCAAGGTTCTTTACAATAATATTATAATGTTCTTGGTATTCCCTATGGCTCTTTCAAAATCTTTAACAATTTAACTTTTTAATTCAGCCATTTTTTCTGGGATGAAATGCACAAAATATATGTGTAAATGGCTCAGTCAATGGAATTTTCTGAAATCCTAGTTCATGTTGTATTCATAGAGAAAACAATGAACTAGTAGAACCTGTATGAGAAAGGATGTACCAGTAACCCGGATCTTTACTTTTGAGTGTGTATCTTCTTGCGTAAGATGTTCAAATGACTCTAATCCCTCCAACTATGAACATTTATTATATCATGGTTCATTCGAGTTTGTCATTGTAATAATTCCCTGTTTAATACTTACAAGATCTTAAGTGAATAAACACAAACTAGTTATAGGGATTTTTGGTTTATAAATCTAAGTATTTTTGGTCTTGTGTGTTTTTTAATGTGTTGTTTCTTCACATTGTCTAGGTAATGGAATTTGAGTTGAAGAAGCTGTATGATACTGTCATATCCATCCACGATGAGATGTTTTATCTTCGTGAAAGGTATGAATGTGATGACTTCTGGCAACATGTCTCTCAACCTCATCATGTCATTCATTTAGCATATAATGGCTGTTCATCTTCTGCCAACAAATCTCTCCATATCATTACATTTGTTTGCTCTTTTTTTTAAAAGAGAAAAGGTGATTTTTTAATTTAAAAACATATTTGAAAAATTCTCTGATAATTAAACAAGATTTAAAAAAAAATCTTAATAAAGGTGGTTTTAGTGCTTTCTTCATGTGTTAAAAAAAAAAGCACCTTGTGAAAAAACTATAAAAAAAGTTATATTGTAAAGGCGCTTTTCGAAAGCTTATTCAGACACGCCCTTAATGTGTTGAAATGGATCCGAAATTAGCTCTCTGTGATGCCACCAACATCCTTGTTTCCTGTGCTCTACCCTTGTGAATGAACTTTTTAGCATGTTATGCTGTATGGTTCATGAGAGTGATAAGCCAAGGAAGGAATCAATTAGTTGTATATAACAAATTACAGGATTCTATTTTAAGTTTTGGAAGGTTTGGCTTTGGCGACGTTCGTGCACTCTTTTGGAGCATAAGAATTTTTTTATTCATTCTTATAGTAATTTGGATGACGTTTTATCCATGTGGCTGATATAGGGAGGAAGAGATGCAAGAGCTTAACAAAGCAACTAACTCCAAGATGTTTACCTTCAGTTTCCTTTCGCTTGTGGTTTGCTTGTCTGTGGCTGGTCTGCAACTATGGCATTTGAAGACATTCTTTGAGAGGAAGAAGCTCCTCTAAGTTCCTCCACACGAATTTTGTTCATTTTGTTTCCGTGGTTTTTATTTCCTTTTTATGTATCCAAATGTATTATTAGTTAATCTTTCTCTTTTACAATTTATGATAATTAGAAATCGCTCCCCATCGTAAGTCATATTGAATGCATCTTACATTGAATTGGTGGATGTTAGAAACAATATTTACATTTCTCAAGGTCCTTAATTTACATTTCTCAAGGTCCTTAATTTATAATCTTGAGCACTGAAGGTTATTACTTGAACATTTAATAGTTGATAGAAGTCCATCAGAACGGCCTTCATATTTCAAATGGTAAAAGCAATTGCCAATATTTATATCTAGTAATCATCTTGTTTGAGTGAAACGTGTACGTAACATTATAAAATGGACTCTGACTAGGGATGTGCATGGGTTGAACCGAATCAGTTTTTTTGAAAAACCGAACTGAATTGGTTTAAATGGTTCGGTTCGGTTTAAAACTGGTTCGGTTCGGAAGTGGTTTGGTTCGGTGGAAAATGGTTCGGTTCAGAATCGGTTCGGAAACGATTCAGTTCGGAACCGGTTCAGGTCGACCCTCTTTTGAAAAGAAAAAAAGTTAAAAATTTAAAAAATAAAGTTATAAAAATCAATTTGGTCCGGTTCTTAAACTGGTTTTAAAAACCAGTTCGGTTCTTAGACTGGTTTTAAAAATCAGTTCAGTTCATGAACTGGTTCTTTAAAAACTGGTTATTTTAAGGGGCGGTTTGGTTCGGTTCGATTCATGGTTCGGTTCAGTTTTTTGATTATTTTGCACACCCTGACTAGGACAGCTAGAGTAGAAGAATGATAAATGCAAATGGTTCTACAAATGATTGATGTGGCACTTTGTTCTTTCGGTTTTTCTATCAAGCTTTCATTAAGATCTTAATTACTAGTCTAGGCAATTAGTGGCGACTGCCATCAACTACCATTTTCTCAGTTCTCCATATACCTGCAAGAGTGAAAGTGAGCTACTTACAGATAATTCTTTACACTAGACCAACATTCATTGGAGGCATTTTGTAGTCATTCCATATTATTTTGACATTCCACGCATTGCTTAACGAGTTAATGTTGTTTTTACACTTTCATATTTTACACGACTTAAAATAATACAATTCTGCTTATAACACAAACCTATGGGAATGTTTACCTAAAATATATGAATACGTGTGTTCCAGTATGCTTTTCATTTATCCAACTATCGAGATTCAAATCCTCTATTGAAACTTAGCCAGCGATAATTTTAAGTCAAAATGACAAGATGCAGGGCACGGTATTCACAAAGCTGAAATTTTTGAAGAACCGAACCAAATTAATTTGAAGCAAATTAATTTAAACAGTTTGACTCAAAATCGATTCAGTTCGATTCAAAAACAATTCAGTTCAAAACCAATTCAATTCGGTTCAAAAACGATTCGATTCAATTTGGTATCATCGAGTCAACCCTATTCTGATAAAAAAACTAAAGAAATAAAAAAATTAAACAATAAAAACCAATCTGATTTGAAAACAGTTTGATTCGGTTCTTGAATTAATTTTAAAATCCAACCGGTTCTTTAAAAATCAATTTGGTTCATAAATTAATTTTAAAAATCAGTTATTTTAAGTACAGTTCAATTTAATTCACAGTTCGGTCAGTTTTTTGATTATTTTGCTCATCTATACCCAAATTTGAGTATACCCGTCCCAACTTTCCCAGGAGATAAATAGTTTAACACACCAACTCAAACATTAGGGATGTTATTAGAACTCAAAAAGCCAAACGACAACATAGTTTAGACCAATAGTTCTTAAAGCTTAATACTTTTAGTAATAGTCTAAACACGCTGGAAGGTACGTACAATGCGTCAACCCTTTATTTAGTAGGTAGCTATGGGATGACTTCAATTCACAGAGTAACCATAGGCATTTTGATCACTCATCATCATAACTCTTATGATGATGCTTGTGGTGATGCTTCTTCCTCCCCTCATCGTCATCGTCATCTCCCTGCCATGGTAGGAAAAGATCATAAAATGAAAGCCAATTTGAATAGGAAGAGTTTTATATAGCATGCAAATAAATTTTTTAAAATTCTTGGGGCAGCATTTTATTCTGCTTGCAGAACCTATTAAATGCACATGGTTGGAATGTTGAGACATGGGAAGCACTATATGGATTGCCATACAATTCATAGAAATCCAGATCAATTCAGGTATTTAGTGTACGAGAAAATCTTGGTTCATTAAGAATACAACGAACCACCAAGTCAAAACAATTACTGAAAAGAGAGAAATTTTGTAATAGAAATTCTAAGATTTCATCAAACAGAGGAAAGCCATCTCAAGAAACTATACAGAGAACAAGACATGATGGTAAAATGATCGCAATGTCAGTGGAGATGATATCTATATGGTCTAAAAGATCAAGGCACCTTTTTGGGGTCAAGGCTGGACAATTATCACACTACTAGACTGGGAGTAATCTGGGATTAATCCCGTACCGGTCCGGGTCCCTTTTCCTAGGGGTGCAAACGAGTCAAGTCAAGCTAAACTTTAGCCAAAATGGATTAAGTCTATGTAAAATATTTCAAACCTGACTTGACTTGTTAGCCTGATACAAGTTAATTATAAGCTTGGGCTGGTTTGTTTTTAAAAAAATATAAGAGTCGGCCTGACCTATCAAGTCTTTAAAAATAAAAAATAGATTATGATTATTTTGTTTCTTTTGCATGTTTACGTTGATAAAAAGTAAAAATAGTACAATAGCTGAAGTCACACCACAACCCAAAATAATATTTTATAATAAAAAATATAATATATTATTTTATAAAACAATTAAATATTACATATTAAAAAATATAGACCGGGCCTAAAGGCTTTAAAGGCAAGGCCTTTTAAAATAGGTTTGTGCCTGATTTGTAAATTTGCCTTTTAATGAGCTCAAACTTTACTATTTTTAAAAGCACCTGACAAGCCGCCTAATCCATTTACATCTTTACAACTTTTCTTGGCCAAGTCGCGGGGATATCCAGGAGACTTGACTAACCCCAAAGAAGTAATTAGGGTTAAAAAAAAATAAAAAATCAAGGCACTATCTAAAGGATAAATCATGCAAATAAAATAGCAAACTAAACAATTCATCTCTTTTCTATTATCATGTCTCACATCTGCCAACAAAAACGCTATAAAGAAAAAAAAAAAGTTCTAAAAATTCGATTGATTCCCATATTGCATATTTTCCAATAAAATTCACTTGAATAGTACCTAATTGATTTAAGGGAAAACTTCATTTTCACCTACTATGGTTTTGTGATTTATCATTTGACCCCTTGTGGTTTTAAACTTATCACTTAGACCCATTGTGCTTAAAAAATTTATCATTTAACCCCTCGTGATTTCAAACTTTCACTTAGATACCTTGGGGTTAGAAAAATTTTCACTTAAATCTCTTGTGGTTACAAAAATAAAAATTTTAAAAAATAAAATTTAAAATAAATATTCTCTTTTTTTATTTTATATACTTACCTAATGCATTTAGGGTTTAAAAAATAGTTTTTTTAAAAAAAATCACTTATTTTTATCAAGAAAATAAATTCAAATCAAATATTATTTTATTTTAACTATTTTATACCCGATATCGCTATAAAATTATCTAAAGAAAGTACATATCTTACTTTGATAATACATACTTAATTTGTCTTAAATAATATTTTTTTAATTTCAAATACATTTTAAAAAATTAAGATAATTTATAAATTAATTTCAGAATAAATAACATGAAATATTTTTTAAACCATAAATGCATTCATTACATAAGGATATAAAATAAAAAGAGAGAAAATTTATTTTAAATATTCATTTTTTAAGATATTTATTTTTTAAACAAGGTGTCTAAGTAAAAATTTTTGTAACCAGAAGGAGTGAAAATTTGAAACCATAGGAGGTTGAATAACAAAATATCTCAACACAGTGAGTCTAATTGATAAGTTTAAAACCACAGGGAGTCAAATGATAAATCACAAAACCACAGTGGGTGAAAATGAAGTTTTTCCTTGATTTAATGACACATACTAAACACATATCATTATCATCAAGTCATATTGAAAGTATGTCAAAGGAAAATGAAGAAAACAATCAGTTTTTTTGAATTTACCAATAAAAGTTATCTAATTGTTTTCTTGAGTAGTTTAGACTTGAATTTTATAATTGAGACTCGAATAAACCCTAAACATAGAATCTCCCAAATTGACCAAGTTCAAGTGCTAAGAATGAGATGTTCGGTAAGCCAATATAAGATTCAGAGCCTAAGGCTATGTTTCAATTGATGGAATGAGATGATAACAGGTTCTATTGTTTGGACTTGAAAAAAAATGATGGAATGGAATGGAAGTGTATGGAGTCCATTCCACTCCATACCATCCCACTCCCCCATATTTCATGGTCTTTGCCTTCTATACTTTCTGAGAAATGGTCCCCATTACTGAGAAAGTCAGGCTAGTTTCATTAAAAAAATATAACATGTTTAACTTATATTTGATGAAGTTACATAATGTTTCAGGTCAACCTTATCACCCTGATCCTTCTTTTCACACAGTCATTACAAAATAAATTTGAAAAGCTTCATGACATTTTAGAATGGGGTACCAAGGATCTACGCATATAGTAGTACAACAATGTAATCCTCATATGAACCAGCAGAAACAATGCACTTAAATACGGACATACATAAGGCTTTTGAACTGTAAACAATAAAGCAAACCAAGCTTAAGCATCGCCAAATATATGAAACCAACAAGGTATATATTATACTATTTCAAAACTCATAACATACACAGCAAGCATTTAAGAATTACACTACACCAACCAGTTCAAGCAATAACCACTATAACAATAACTTAAGAACTCAATAATACACACAATTTCAATCAGAGTGAGATACATTGTATGCTAGTGCAAAAAATACCATTTTACTAAAGAATTAAACTAGACCAATGAGTTCAAGAAATGGAGGAAGTACTCACATATTTCTTACGACCATAGCCCTCATCATCATCATCACGCCTTTCAGAGCGGCCATAACCATACTCAACTCCTTGCTGGCTCTCATAGTTACTCTTTCCATAGCTTGGTTTCTCCGCATACTCACTCCTTCCTCCTCCATACCCAACCTGTTCCTCCCCATAGCTGGTCTTCTTCTCACCATACCCGGATCCATATTCCGACCCACCCGTCTCATACTCGGTCTTCCGCCCGTACCCGGGATTCTCCTCACTCCTCCCACCATACCCACCTCCATACTCCGAACCTTCAGTCCTGCGACCATACCCGGATCCGTATTCGGATCCGGGTTCGGGTGCCTCGTACTCCTGCTTTCTCCCACCATACCCGGGTGCGGGCGCCTCGTACTCCTGCTTTCTCCCACCATACCCGGATCCATATTCGGACCCATACTCAGTTTCCTGCTTCCTACCACCATATCCGGATCCATATTCACCCTCCTGCTTCCGACCACCATACCCGGACCCATATTCGGATCCGGGTGCCTCGTACTCCTGCTTCTGACCCCCATACCCGGATCCATATTCAGTTTCCTGCTTCCTACCACCATACCCGGACCCATATTCTGACTCCTCCTTCTTTCCACCATACCCGGATCCATATTCAGATTCCTGCTTCCTCCCACCATACCCGGATCCATATTCCGACCCGGGTGCCTCATACTCCTGTTTCTTCCCATACCCAGATCCATATTCCGATGCGGAATACTCAGACTCAGGCCTCTGGCCAATACCAGACCCATAATCCGAACTGGGCCGATCATAATCGGATCCACCATACCCGGGTCGATTCACACTGGAAGGAGCATCATAACCGGATCCTCCACCTGGGTTGAAACCAGCAGGTGCGGGTCTAGGCTTGGGTCGACCATAGCTGCTATACTCAGTGGCGAGAGCTTCATCAGCATAAGCAGAAGGTTCGGAATACGAAGAGTATTGGGCTCGATCGTAATCGAATGCATCGTCGGAACCGGAGGATCCGATAGGGTAGCAGGTTTCATCGGAGGGAGGGATTGGGCGACCGTAGGTGAGAGCAATGTCGTAACCGCCACCGTAGGGTGTCGGATCGTACTCCTCGAAGTCGTCGACGCTGTCTTCGCCACCACCCCTTGGAAAGAACCCCATTTTTCTTCACGAAACTTGCGAGCTTCTCTCTGTCTCTGTGTCTCTGGTTTTGGGATCACACAATTGAGAACGATGATTCAGGATCTCAAACTGCGTTTTATTTTATTGGGAAAAAAAACAAAACTCCACCGGGCTTCACTAAAACGACATTACACTTATCTGTCGTTTGCTCTCTCGTTATTGTTTTGTGAGGCCTTGCCCAATTATAAGAGTGCATCTGTCTTTGCACTGTTTTTTATTCCATGATTGCAGTTAATCAATCTAATTCTGTTATTTGTATAAAAATGAAGATAAATATTCACAAAAGAACCTTCATCAAATCTTTTCTTATATTGGTGTAACTTATATTTTTAAAGTTGGTTGCGATCTTATTTTTATTTAAGTGCTCTAATTTATTACATATGTGAGTAGTTAAATATATACAAATTAATGATTAAGATTAAATGTAAAATTTTGAATTCTTGTATTTAAATCTTTGTAAGAATAATATACCTCAAGCATAATGATAAAAGGTTAAGATATTTTGCAGCTTGACCTTCTTTGCTATGTGCTTTTTTTCTGAAAAATAATAATAATTACTTTATGAAATAAAAACAGTAAAAAATAAATAGTTTATGAATTTTTGTATTTCCAAAAAGTTTGATATATAAAGAAGAAATAGATTTGATTGAATATAAGACCACTAACCGTACATCATACAGATGTTTTTTCAAAAAAACAAAAGATTTATTTTTGAACCAAATAATAGTAGCTCAGTTAACACATGTATGGATTCGATCCTTTTAGTATTATTTTTGGTAAAAATTTAAAATCGTAATCCTGAATTTGTCCCGAATAGAATTGCCTTCCGATCTTCATTAAAAAAAAAAAAGAATTGCCTCTCATAAAGATGTACCTGTAATTTATTTTAAAAAAATAAATAAAAAATCAGTTTTTGAGAAATGAATGTTGCACAAAAGTGTATAGACATCTCTTAAGAAAGGATGAATTAATGAATTACCAAATTGATTTGATCATTTAATTGTTAATTTTAACTCTAAATCATGAATTCAAGATCAGTCTTTTTAAAAAAAAAATTATACATGTCTTTTTTATTTTTGGTAAACTTTATACATGTCTTCTTTAATTTATTGGTACTAGATATACATTTATTAATTAAACAAATTCAATAATTTTTTATCAATCATCTTTTATTACCTAAATAAGTACATGTAAATAGTTTAATGATGAAATTTTTAATTAATGTGCCCTTTTTAAGAAATGTGTATAATTATTTGATGTGCAAATTATGTAATTATATATGTAAAGGATCATCTTATGTGTAATTTAATATGATTATATTATTTAAGAGAATTTTAACTACATATTAATAAATCAACAGCGATAAGAGATAAAAGAGAAGAAAAGATAGAATACAGAAAAAAAATATGCTAATTTATCTATGAACAGATAAAATTTCTATATATGATCTGATTATCTTAAATTACACCTAAAAAATCCATTATGTGAAGTGTGGAACGCAGTTAGTGGAAGTGTGGAGCTATCAACGAAGTCAATGTGATGTATTCTAATATCTTGTTTCTTACATGATTGGGACATTACAGTTATCTACACTTGTCGGTCCAAACGCTTTTCAAGCTAATTGGGCCAGCCAATTAAATAAGCCCGTTGTTGCCAGTGATTTTTCTAAAAAAATTCTATGTTGGCCCAAGAAAAGTGTGGGGAAGAAAGTTTGTTTTTTGAAAAGTTTGCTAAGTTGTATTTTGCTTCTGAGCATGAATTCAGCATTGGTAGCTAATGTATATATGATAATGAATACTAAAACGCAACTCTATTAGAATAACATGAAAATTGAATGTTATGAAGAAACACAAATCATGTCTACTCAGTCTTGTTCTAAGGATAGTGAACAAACGGAATCATTATGCTTAACTGAATTTGATTGCACTTAGTTACATAACTTTACATAATTACAAAAATAATTTAATATTTTTTATGCTGTAAGAATTAAAATTATCTCTTACATATAATATAAAAATGAATGGAGGTCATATGAGACCATGTGAGGAGAAGAGAAAAAAAATAAAAACATAAATCCAACGTACTTTTTATGTGTGTATATGAGATAAAATTATTTTTATAACATAAGAAACAATAAACTCTTATAAAAAAATAATTTCAAATCATTTTCGTATAACATGTCATTATAATAGACTAAGGCATGAGAACATATCTCCTAAAATAAGTAGAGGGTTTATTGTTTTCTATAATCACGAGATAATTTTATCTCTCTTGTAGATACGAAAATAAATATATCTTGTTTTTTCTCTTTCTCTTTTCTTTTCATAGAATCTTACTCACTTTCATGTGTTATTATATTTGGTTATTTTTATATTAATTTGAAAATTTTATACTAAATTTTAGTATAAACTTACTTTTTAGATAAAATTTTTTAAATATAAATTATTTTACTTTATTCACTTTTGACCAAATTGATTATATAAAGTTAAAAATATTCGAAATTAGTTTACAAAAACATCGTCCTATTATGTATAACATTAACTTAAGATTCTGTCTAAAAGAAACCAAAATTAGACGTTAACTGACCATACATGAATCTCTCCTAGCTTCTTTGTGCGTGTCCTTACCTTTCTTTGCGTTTTGTGTCCGCTACCTACACTCACACTACATAACATAGCAAAGCAACAACGACCCTTTACACTCACGAACACACACACAAGTAACAGTTATTGAGAGTGCAGAGCAACAATGGCAGCTTTTGTATTAACTGTGTCACAGGACGGAACCGGACACTACCGGACGGTGCAGGAAGCCATTGATGCCGTGCCACTCCGAAACTCTCGCCGGACGGTGATCCGGGTGTCGCCGGGAATCTATAAACAGCCAGTGTACGTGGCCAAGACCAAGAATTTCATCACCCTCGTTGGTATGAGCCCAGAGGACACTGTTCTCGCGTGGAACAACACTGCTACCAGAATTGAACACCACCAAGTAGGTGCATTTTTTTTATGTTCTCATCGTTTGGGGAAGTGGGTTAGTGTCAAAATTTAAAATTGTTCATTCTTTGATGGTGGTGGCGGTGGTGATGAGTTTTCTTGTAGGGTTCTCGGGTGGTAGGGACTGGGACCTTTGGTTGTGGTAGCACCATTGTGGAAGGGGAGGACTTTATTGCTGAGAATATTACGTTTGAGAACTCTTCCCCTGAGGTATTGATTGTAAGAGTTTTGTGTTTTTTAGGTGTTAGCAAGTTTCGTTGTTATTGCTTTGCTGGACAAAATGAGCTTATATGCATTTTTTGTTTTGTTTTTAGTACAAAGCTTATATGCATTTAGGTACACAAATTTGATTGTTGGGATCAGCATGTGTGATGGGTCTGACAGGAATTGTTTATCAAGGAGTTTGTTAGAGATAAAATATAAAAATCATCCATGTACTTTTACTTAAAAGCTTAAGCTTTTGGGATAGTTTATTTGCCACGTAATACCAAAGTTATGTAACCAAGTTGTTTAGAATTTGATCCTTGTCGTTCCTATTATTATATAACAAGTTGCATTTGGGCTATTTTGAGATGGTTTATGATAGACTTAACTATATGGAAACTTTCAAATTTTAATACCATTTGTGTTCATAAAAATAAAATAAAATTGGATGATTCCCTTTATAATTTGAAGCCTTTTCTTTTGAGGGGGCTTTGGATTTGCCAATTGCCAAAGATAGAGATTGACGGCTATTTATTCTATTACTGTTTTGGTCCGGCCAGATGGTCCTGCCCAACTAGCTCTAATAGCTGCCTAGCAGGACTACCATCACATGGCAGGTGTACATGTGTCTTCTCACATTTTTTATGCACACATGACCCTTTACACGTCATGGGTCACCCAACCTCACACCTAGTGGGACCCACGAGGATGGAAACAGTTATGACATCACATCTTGCGCACTCGGAGGGAATCTCCAACCTCTTATATAAAGGGACCTCAGCTCCCTCACTAACCATCTTCTTCATTGACTCTCTATTGCTGTTATTCTGCCAAATTCTCACCTCAGCCATAATCGTAGCCCTTAAACACCTCTCTCTTAGCACCTGAAAGCTCTGGTCTATACTATTGCCTCTTTCATCTCCGCCAAATTAGCATACTTCACCTTTTTGGAAAACAGATCCAGATCTTCATACTCTAATTGAGTTCAATTACTAACCAAAGATGTGGTTTTTAATTCATTAGATTATTTGTTATTGTTGATTTTTGCATCAACATCTTAATTAGTATCTTTGTAAACTTTATGCAGACAAATTTTTTTTGACGGGCACAAACCAAATTGTGACAGACCCTATATACTGCTTTTTCCCCCTTGCAGGGCTCAGGGCAAGCAGTGGCAATTAGAGTAACAGCAGATCGATGTGCATTCTATAATTGCAGGTTCCTTGGATGGCAGGTAACTTCACTCTCTTGATGTATTAGTTTACAGGTTCGAGGATTCTTAAAATATTTTATATGGTAATGTATGCATGTTGAATTGCTGAAAAGACTTTGATAACTTTCAGAGAATTCATCTGTGCTTATGAAACTCTTGAAAAATGCATTTGTGTAAGTTATAGTGTGCTTGTATCCTAATAACTGATTGTATAGAAATAATAATATCTTTAATTAACAAGCGGATAAACTTATTTCATGATTATGGTGTAGGACACACTGTATTTACATCGTGGCAAACAGTATCTAAAAGATTGTTATATTGAAGGAAGTGTGGACTTTATTTTTGGTAATAGCACTGCGCTTTTGGAGCATTGTCATATCCACTGCAAGTCTGCAGGGTTCATAACTGCACAGAGCAGAAACTCTCCACAGGAAACAACTGGTTATGTATTCTTGAGGTGTGTGACCATGTCTAGTATTAACGACCTCATTTTTCCATTCACCACTAAAGTTCTTAAAATGTCCAACAAGGAGATAGTTAGTCTTAAAATACCATGTCTAGTATTTTATGTTAGAATTTTATTTTATGGGCAATATTAATTAATTAGTTTTGTATTTAAAATTAATCGGGTTAATGGATATTTCAATATTATTATTGTAACTAGCTCATTGTGATCACATTGAATTGAGCTTCTGGCATCTGTTGTTATTGGGCCTAGTTGGGCAGCAGTGTAGGCTTTAGTGTGACCCTGGTTTTCCATGATGGGTGGACCCAGTGGACACAGACTCTTTTGTTATTAGCTAGGTCCCCTCTCTAGCCTATAAATATTGGAGTTAAGCTCCATAAGCCATCATGCTCCCATCGCTGAGGCTGCCTTTATCGAAATAGGTAATAGAGAGGAAGATCTGGCATGTAGTCCCTTTTCTCTTTCGACTTTGTGATGATCCAATAAGGTACACACAATCCCAACTTTGATTTCATATTGTTTAAGTATTTTATAATCATATACATGATTCAGGGTTAAAATATCTCTATCATTTGGTATCAGAGCCTTATGTATATGATTATAGGATCCATGTTGTTGAATGGAATCAAAGAATTTGGGTTTTTTTTTATGCATTATTTCATGAATTTTTTTTTTGTATTGAATTAAGAAACTTAGGGTTTTGCTCTACACGTCGAAATCTTTACGTTAATATTTACTGAGTTTTTGTTAGCTTCAATTAGCTATCCGACCTAAGTTTGCTATAGCTACAGTACCTTCATTCTAACATTTAAATGGCATCTTCTTCTACGTTGTTAACCCTTTATATTTCATTTTGTTGGGTTATTTAAAATACTTTGCGATAAAACATGGTTGCATGTGCTTGTTAGTGAGATTAAACTTCTCATTATTGTTTTCACTTTTTTGTTAGTCTGTCGTTTTTACATTTTTTATTTTATTTTTAGTGAATTGTCGTTTTACCATTTGTCTTGCGGTATACTTTGTTAGCTATGAGATCTTTATTTTTATTTGTCTATGGCGTACGGAAGTAACGTAGAAGAGAATGAAATGGATTAATAAATTTTAGAAATATGGAATTCCCTATAAATTACGTTCAAGCTATCGGTATCCAGAAATTGGAGAAGGAAGACCTATAATAAGGTAGCTGGTGTATCTGCAGTATTATGTTAGTGGTTGGTTTTCTGTTACTTTGACAAGTTGATTTATTTATTTATTTTATTCAAAACTTTTGAAGAAGTCCACGGAAGTTTTGTAGTGAAAATTTGTTTGTTTGTTATAATATAATGTTCCATTTTTTAAGTTACGATTTTCAAGGCAAATTTCTGTTTACTTGAAATGTTTATTTGTTTTATCAGTTCCGATTTTCAAAGGCATGATTAAATATTTTACCGTTTGAACATATACATCTATTAGTGCCAAAATAATAGATGATCCAGGGTATCAAAATTTGGTATTTGTCTTATTATATTAAATGTTGTGTCATGGCCATAACTGTTACATACTTTTTCGTGATATTTGTTGCATGATATCAGTTACTTGAAGTAATATTCCGTGGAACATAACCATTAGTGTTTTGTTTAGTGGTTTTACTGTAAACCCATGATATTAACTTGTATGTTAGTGTATATATAGTATCACTATTACTGTTCCGCTTTTCCGTTTTTTGTTTTGCCAATTCCGATTTTCAAGGCACGGTTTTTTATTTCAACAGAAACTTCTTGTTATATAAATAAATTAACAGATTATTATATTATTTTAACAAGAAACGATTTTTTCGGTATTTTACACTCAGGGAATTGAACCAGACGTGAAATATTTCTATTCATATATTTCTAATGACATATCACTGTTCATATACCTTCTAGATAACCTTCATCGTGATATAATACTACTGTTCTTTTTTTTACCGTTTGAATGACATATGACAATAGATATCTTGATCAATGACATATAACAATAGATATCGAGTTATTATATTGTTATTATAGTTGGTATAGGGATGTTATATTTGGTATATTGTTATTGAGAAATACAAGTGTTATGTTATTATATTGTTACTGTTCATATACCCTCTGTCCACAGTACCGTTTCGGGATGTTACATATGATATTGTTATTATATTTGGTATATATATATATATATATATATATATATATATATATATATTTTAGGATATATCTATTCTGTTAGATATATATATTTTTACCGTGATATTTTTTGTTGTTGACTGATTCAATTTAGTAGATATACTTCTTGAATCGCATCGTCATATTTGTTTGAAAAAGATATATCTTACTGGTGTCTAATAAATATATCAATTCCGATTTTATCGATTCCGATTTTTAAGAAGATTGTAAGTTTGTAACAATAAGATATATCTTATCTTTTGCTTCCAGTAAAATCAAATGGGTTTGCAGTAACGGATTCAAATGTGCGAAGATTAATAAGCTTCAACAATAAAATTGGTTTTATATTGTTCCTATTATTATATTATTGAGTAGCATATCCACGTTGTATTTTAAATATACGCTGCATATATTATTTGAATGGGACACGTTACAGTGTTATATGCCTTCTTCATAAAGGTCCAGCCATAATTTCATGAATAGTTTAAGTCTTCAATTTATTATTACTGCAAGTTTCCCTAGTGGCTAGTTGGTTTATTGTTGTGTTTGATAAACTCAAGAGTACTTGATTCGAAATTTGTGTAAAGGCTTTTCTCAACCTGGATTTCAAGCCACGTGAATCGTGTAGATCATTAGTTTTTTTTTTTTTTTTCTGTTGTTTTTCGAGCTGTTTCGTACAAACCGTTTACAATATATCAGTTCCGCTTTGTTAAGAATATATTGTTCCGATTTATTTTGTTTTTTATTTATTTATTTTCACGATTACAAGTGTATTTGTTATCGTGGGCACGATTTACAAATTTACCAGTTCCGTATTTTATTAAAAATATTTGTTATCGTGGGCAGATTTACTGTTTATTTGTTATCCAACAGAAATATTACTCAAAGAATATCAGTTCCGGTTTTTTAGTCAGTTCTGATTTATATAATAATTATTATTCAAATCGTTTCAGTTATATATCTCATAGATATATCTATTATTGTACCATGCGCTAATGGATGACAATTTTATTTTTTATCTTTTTGGTCAAACATGTTCTATTATTGACAATTTTTTTTTAGTCAAACATGTTCTATTATTTTACAGCATTTTGTATTACGTGTATATATAATGGTTATATCCCACCATAACCATAGAGCAATGTTGGATACACTTGTAATGATTATAATTATTGACGTCCAGTATATATACACTGCTCTTGTTCTATTCATGTTCGCTATAAATGTTTGATTAAAAAATATATATTTCCTGTACTTACAACATGTATAAAGTCTAACAGAATGGGGCTTACAACCTCATGACCCACTATTTAGATATATATATATTTTTACAGTTTTTATTTATTTATTCAAAATCTGTAAAATATTATTTGGATACACAATTTTAATAATTGTAGTTGACAATGAGTGGAATTCTTCTTGATTGACAAATGCTATAATTTTTAGAAACACATGTTGAAGAAGTGTTTCATATTGTTTGAGCATGTTTGGTTCAGCAGTTATTATTACGGTTGAAAATCCTAGATTCCTAGTTGAAAATTTCAATATTGTTATTGAAAGATATTTAAAAATCATGGTTGCAGTTTCCATCTTTTACTGTTTAAATTTTGTTGTTGTTTAGATTCTTTATATTACATAGGCCTCCAATATTGTTACGATTTTGATATATCTAAAAAGATATTTTTGTGCTGGCCTTCAGTATTGTTACGATATTTTTTATTTTTTATGGGAAAAGATTTTTTTTTGAGTTCATCTACCACCAATCTAATTAATTTGAGATAAAGATGTAATTGATGTTGATGTTATGAGTGTAAGTTATGGGTATACTATATCATCATACTTTATATTTAGAATCAAACCTTAATTTTGGGGGCTAAGTTCATCTTCTTTGTGGCCTTGATTTGTGCACAGATCTATAAGAATGTATGTTTCCTATGTGCACTAATGTCAAAAATTGGCTTAGAATTTGAATACATTGTAACGATAGGAAAATGATAGAGTTTTAATCTATTCCTATCCAATATTTCTAATATTATAATATTACGCGATACATTCAATGTTAATATACATGTGGTATTATTACTTAAGTTGCTCTCGGTGCACAATTTTAAAGTTGTGTTTGATATTGAATGAGAATTTTTTTTGGATTATTTTAGAAACACATTGGAAAAGTGTTTCATGTTGTTTGAGCATGTTTGGTTCATAAGATATTATTGTTGTTTAATAATTATTATATGTTAATTATCTGCCCAAAGGAGATTTTTAATATATAATAATAAATTACATGAAGATAAATATTATTGATGGGAATATCTAATTGAAAATTATTTATCTGTCCAAAGGGGATAAATTTTTTGAAAATTAAATATGATGCATTTATGTTGGAATTAAGGAGATATATAATTTATAAAATTTATCTGCCCAAAGGGGATAAATTTTAGACAATTGTATATAATTTTCTCCGTTGTTAAATCTTCATGTGATGAAAAATAATTATATATTATATACTCTGCCCAAAGGGGAGTCTATGATATTTAATTATTTTTGTTATTGCTCATGATTAATTTATTACATTATGTGTATAACTTTTGGTGATAAAGATTAACTTGTGTTAAATTCTATCAATTATGAATTTTATTTTATTTTTGGGTATATTTTGGTGCAAAATGTATTGAGAAATTAGCTCTCATTTGATATTGTTGTATAATTTTGTACTCTCAACCTGTGTTGCATGTTGTAATATTTTGTTTATTGGATTGTATGCTTTCGCTTGAATTGTTTACATACAAAAAAATTATTGAGGAGTGCTTCTAGTTATTTCATGCAATTTCCTGCCCAAAGGGGGTTATTGTGTGTTTTAATTGGAAGCTTAACTGTAATAAAATTATTGGAGGTGCATTGGTCTAGGTGATCTATCTGCCCAAAGGGGACAGATCTCTGAAGCCAGTGTATGCTCATTAATTGATTCATCTACATGAAAGTAAGTGGGAGTAAATATATTTTCTTAGTACTTTATGTAAATGACATTTTATTTGCTAGTAAGATGTTGATTTATTGAATAAAACAATAGCCTTTTATCTAAAAGCTTTGAAAAGAAAGACCTTAGAGTAGCTTCTTTTGTATATAGAACACGAGTTCTTTAGAATCTTTTGATTCCCTTAATTAGTGGGAGTAATACTCAATGCTTGCTTTTGAATATTTTAGATTTTTTTGATTCCTTTGGTTAGTGGGAGTCATATTCAGTTTGTTTCTTTTCTATGCAAACTGATAATTATTTTGTGATATTTGTTAGAATTTACGTAATTGATGATGATCATCATTATTATTATTTCTCCTGTCGACTAAGAAATATATGTATGGAATAATATCTTTAAGCATGATGTGAGCTTAAAGGTGATTGGATGTCACAAATTTTGAGATCTCATGTTGTACTATGACATACTGGCTTATTTAAGCAAAGCAATTTCATGTTGTTTAGAAATTGCGGTGATGCGATTTCATATTGTTGAGAAATCGTATCAAGAAGTGCAATTTCATGTTGTTTAGAAATTGTGGTAATGCAATTTCATGTTGTTGAGAAGTTGCATTACAGAGTGTAATTTCATGTTGCTTGGAAATTGCACTAATGTAATTTCATGTTGTTGAGAAATTACATTGAGGACCGATAAGAATTAGTGTGTCACATTGTTGATCACATTTTGGCACTAATTCTTACTACACTACTAGGCCTTGATTCATGAAGATATAATACTCATTGTATGTGAGTATGGAAGGTCATATGCTATGATATTTTCGGTATATTGATCGCCATATTCCTATGAGGAGATTATCTTGGATTGAATTGTGTTGAGATGCTGAAATTGGAATATTGTTTTTCAAAATTGTGGCCACGTAAAATTATTTTTTAGTTATTTACCCGATAGAGTCGTTTTCGAAATAAAATGATTTTCAAAATAATATTAAATTAATTAATATAGCCCAAGTGGGAGAATGTTAGAATTTTATTTTATGGGCAATATTAATTAATTAGTTTTGTATTTAAAATTAATCGGGTTAATGGATATTTCAATATTATTATTGTAACTAGCTCATTGTGATCACATTGAATTGAGCTTCTGGCATCTGTTGTTATTGGGCCTAGTTGGGCAGTAGTGTAGGCTTTAGTGTGACCCTGGTTTTCCATGATGGGTGGACCCAGTGGACACAGACTCTTTTGTTATTAGCTAGGTCCCCTCTCTAGCCTATAAATATTGGAGTTAAGCTCCATAAGCCATCATGCTCCCATCGCTGAGGCTGCCTTTATCGAAATAGGTAATAGAGAGGAAGATCTGGCATGTAGTCCCTTTTCTCTTTCGACTTTGTGATGATCCAATAAGGTACACACAATCCCAACTTTGATTTCATATTGTTTAAGTATTTTATAATCATATACATGATTCAGGGTTAAAATATCTCTATCATTTTAATCATCATCATGTTTTCCATACAACCATGTGAATTTTGTTTTAACTTCGATATATGATGGGGGAGAAAATTAGTGATTTCTGCTTTGTTTTCCTGATTTCCAAGGCAGCATTTCTTCGATATTGTAGCATGACTGCAAATGCTTAGAAGTGCGAGAAATATGGATTCAGGAATGAACTCAACTTTTCATCGGAATCAATAGGATTTTCATTAGACAAGAATTAACTCAAAAAAAAACCCATGATTTTAAGCAAGAATCAGCTTCATGTTTGGACCGATCTTATAAGAAGTCTATGAATTAATATTGGAAATCTTAGAACATTCAATTTTTAGAGTAAGCAAAAACTTACTGAGGAGAAGAGAAACAACTGCATGAGTAGGGATAAAAATTTTAGAATCTCATACTAATTTCTCTGTATCAACTGCCATATTTTTTTTATTTGTTTGATGTGTCAATTATTCTGTTCCAAGTCCTTTGAGACTTGAAACTGAATTACCCATGGATGCTAATTATTGATTATGAATAAACATACTTTTATTCGTTTGAAATTGGTTTACAAATGGTTGTACTCCTCTTCATTCATAAAACTTTCTTTGTGTTCTGGACCATTTGGTTTCTAACATTATATGTATTTTACATGCAAATGGTTTCTGGTGTCATTGCAGATGTGTTATCACAGGTAATGGAGGAACTTCATATGCATATCTTGGAAGACCATGGGGGCCTTTTGGAAGAGTGTTCTTTGCATTCACTTATATGGATCAATGTATAAAGCCTGTTGGCTGGAACAATTGGGGGAAGATTGAGAATGAAAGAAGTGCTTGCTTTTATGAATACAGGTACTTTGAATAGTTCTTTGTATGAAATAGTTTTAGCTATTACTTATATTGGCTTTATTAATTTCATGTCGTAGGAGAGTAGTTATCTCCTACCATAGACACAATTATAGATGGAGTCCACTCACTTATACATCAACGTCAACAACACCTTTATCCTAAATTAATTGGGGTCGGTGGTAGATAAACCCACATGAAAGATACAAAACGGTTCCACTCACTTATAAAAAATAAAAATTGAGTTACACGGAAATTGATGGGTGTGTAAGAAAAAGAGCCACCACTGAGTAATTTTTCCCTCCTTATATATGGCATAAATCTTTTTCTCATCAAATTAATGGATCTGAGTACAACCAGTACAGGTGTACGTAGGTTGAGTTCAGATAGTGAACTACAACATATATTAAAAAAAAAAATATTACGTTACCAAAGATTAAGAAAACCATAATGCAACATATTCTACTAATAACATGACGTGAATATGACAAGGTTGCTACTTCTTCCAAGTGTATGTACTATTGCTGGAGGCAGAAAAAACCAACTAGGATTTCTAAGCCTATTTATATTCTCCTTCTAAATAAAGTGCTTTGCAACGAGTGTGATAAGAAGGATATATATATATAGTTAAATAATGCTGGACGTAATCCACGTTGGATGAATCAGGGTAAATCTGTATCTTCATTCTTTTTTCCCTTCTCTATTTTCACTTTTGTGTCCAGGTTTCATTCCTTGAAATAATTTTTACCTGCCTTCAATGCAAAATTGTTGTTTATTGAGTTCAAGAAGTTTGGAGTAATGGTATCAAAAGCACAGGTGTTTTGGACCGGGTTGCTGTCCATCTGAACGGGTAAAATGGGCTAGAGAATTAATGAATGAAGAAGCAGAAAAGTTTCTGATGCATGGCTTCATTGACCCAGAACCAAAGAGACCTTGGCTTGCTCAAAGAATGGCCTTGAGGATTCCATATTCTGCTTAGAAATTGTTGAGGACAATTGATGAGAATGTCCCTCACAGTTAATCACGTAGCTTGTGTGCTTAATGTCATGTCTATCAGCATAAGAAAATATGCCAAATTTGTATATCTATATCAAGGGCTTGTCATGAATAAAAAATATTACCTACGAGATTATTTTTCATTTAATAGCAATATGAAATGTTGCACCCATATGATGTACCACTTCTTGCACTATTCCCAAGATTGGAAAAGTTACCAAGAAAATGTATATCCTAAGGTTCCAATTTATTGGTAAAAAATATGCATGTCTCTTCTTAATTTGTTTATTTAAATATAGGTAAATGATATAATACAATACTTTTATTTAATGTATTAAATCGTTCTATTCCTTAATTGCAGTATTTATTTACTTTTTTATGTTTTAGATCAACAGGCCATATGTTCATAAAAGGAAAAAAAACTGTATAATTAAGAAATAAAAGATAATGGAATTATATCAATAATATGTTAAACTTGTACTTTTATTATTACTCAAAGCAAAGGGAAATGAATTTATTAAGGGATAGAATGCCTATTCTTCCTATTCCTTTTAAACACTATTAGATCACAATCTCAAGATGAGAGAGATATACTCAAAGTTAGTTGAGATTGTGAACTAATAGTATTGGAGAGGAGTAGGTAGAATAGGCATTAAAAAATAAAGTCATAATATTGTATCATGTTTATCCTTGTATCTTTATTTTCAAAGCTGATGAATACCTTAACCCCTTCCTCCTTCCAACCCCTTTCACATCCTCTTTTCAATAAGATTCTTCAAACCAATAAGATGTCTGATGTATGGAGAAAAAATATAGTTGTGTCTGTTTACAAAAATAAGGGAGATATTCAGAATTGTTCTAATTATAAAGGCATTAAGCTTATGACCCGTATTATGGAGTTGCGGGATAGAGTTATTGAGCATCATTTGATGAGAGAGACTAAGGTCTCTGTAAATCAATTTGGATTTATACCGGAAAGATGTACCATGGAAGCCATTTTCTCTTATGAGACAATTAATGGAATGATATCAAGAAAAGAAGGACTTACATATGGTGTTTATAGATTTTGAGAAGCCATATGATAGGGTTCAAAGAAAGGTTCTATAGGGTGTTCACAAGAAGAAAAAAGTACTATCAAAGTATGTAAAAGCAATTAAGGGTATGTATGATGGTGCTACTACATGTGTGAAGGCTTGTAATGGAACATGAAGTTATTTTCCTATCACGGTAGGTGTACTAGGGGTGTTCGCGGTCTGGATTGGATCGGTTTTGGAAACAAAAATCATCCGATCCAATCCCTTCGGTTTGATCACATAATCATCCATTCGGTTTGGACTTTTTTTCAAATCCGATCCGATCCAATCCAATTTTTTTTTTGGTTTGGATTGGATTGGTTTTCGATTTTTTGAAAATTCTAAAATTTGTTTCTTGATTATTGCTCAAATAACATCTTTTGTATATATTGGCTTTGGAATTTTATTTTTTTTAAATACAAAAGTATCATTAAACGATAATATAGATTTTTTTTTTGGACAATAAGATATGAAGCTCTACATATATAAAATTTTGTTGATGAGACGTGACTAGATTTTTTCTTGAGTTTAGTTGATGGGTTAATGGGTCTTTAAGTTTAGAAATTTTTTAACTATGATGGGAGAAAGACCCAAGTAGGTAGAGAAAAATTAATATATTGGATCGGTTTGGATTGGATCGATTTTCATCTACCAATCCAAAAATCGATCCAATCCAATTAAAATTTGCGGGTTTTTTTCGGTTTTCGGTTTTTCAGTTTTCGGTTTATTTGATTTTCGGTTTTTCGGTTCGGTTACTGCGGTTTGAATCGGTTTGGATCGGTTGATGAACACCCCTAAGGTGTACACCAAGGTTCTGCTCTAAGTCAGTACCTCTTTGCTCTAGTTATGGATGAACTAATAAAAGATATTCAAGAGAAAGTGTCATGGTGTATACTTTTTGCAAATGATATTATGCTTATTGATGAGACCAAGGATGATATTAATAGAAAACTAGAATTATGGAGAAGCACGTTGGAGTCTAAAGGATTTACGTTAAGCTGCAGCAAGACTGAGTATGTGAAATGTGAGTTTTCTTTGGAAAGAGATGGAGATCAAGATTTCGTGCATCTGCTTGGACAAGAGGTACTCAAGAAAGATGATTTCAAATATCTGAGATCAGTTTTGCTAAAAGATAGAGAAATTGATGAGGATGTAAATCATAGAATCAAAGCTAGGTGGATGAAATGACGTAGTGGATCAAAATTTTTATGTGACAACAAAATTTCCTATAGGCCGCAAAAGGAAAATTATACAAAACAGCAGTAAGACTTGCAATGTTATATGGAGCTAAATGTTAGTAAGCACTTAGGCAACATAAGCATAAAATGGGAGTGACAAGAATGAGGATGTTAAGATGGATGCGTGGTTATACGAGAATGGATAAGATAAGAAATGAAGATATTCGACAAAAGATAGGAGTAATACCAGTAGCTGAAAAGATCGGAGAATATAGATTGAAGTGGTTTGAATACGTAATGAGAACCCTCTGATTGTTCCCGGAAGTACAAAAGTTTGTTACCAAAAGCTTGACACAAAGAGAGGAAGAGATAAACTGAAACTTACTTGGAAGAAGATAGTAATACAAGACTTAGTGTAATGAGATATAGATTGGCAAACAATGTGTCTTATGACTGATTGGAGAAAAGCTATTAGCATGGTTAAGAACGTTGCTAAATTTATTATATATCTTACACATCAAATTCTACAGACTGCAAAACTTGGGAAGTTGTAAACCAGTTTCGATTCAAGACATCCTATGGTATGTAGACAATTTCTAGTATGATCATCTTGCCTAGACAAATCCACACCTGAAAATTTGGAGTTTTTAAAATAAATATTTTATTAAAAACCCACATATGGATTTTCTAAAATTCAAGACAAGACACACAAAATATTTTATTAAGGACTTCATTTTTAAAATGAAATTTGGATTTTTTCTACATAAAAACAAATAAAATAAAAACAAATAAAATAAAAAACATGAACACTCTCTATCCTCAGCATTGAAGTGGTGCTTGTAAACAGTGTGAAGAAAGTTACAGCGCTGAAACAAAAATTAGACTAAAAAGGCATTATTGTGGTTGAAAATGATTCCCAAGGTGGCAAAGTGGTAAGACTGAAGCTCAAAGCTAATGACCTTGTGGAATAAAGAGAAGATGAGAATCAACCATTGGAAAAGTAAAATATTGTTGCAAGTAGTGGAATCGGAAAACTGACAATTGCGACTAAGGTTTCTTTTGGGAAGAGTTGTGATATTTTAAAATTTTGTGAATAATTTTGTTTTTTTTTTTTAAAAAAAAAAGCACGACCCCCCTTTTTTTGTGACCTGACCGAGTCTTGATTTTTATAAATCCCGGCTAGTTCAAATCAGTTTTCAGCAGGTCCGATACATGGTCGATTTATTGCTTGGCTCGATTCGATTAGATCACCAAGTTTCGAGTCGACCCGACCAGTTCAAACCGAGTTTGATAACACTGTATTTATGTATCTTTTATCTCTTTATTTTTATTTTTTATTCTTACTTTCTTATTCTTGTGTACTCTTATATATCTTTATTTTCATTTTATTTTATTTTATTTTTCTTTTTAATTGTTTATTGTTTTTTAGGGAGGTTATATTTACAACCTTTTTAGTTTACCATCTTTTACAACTAAATCTTAATAATTGATTTTTGTCAATTTGATGGTTATAATTTATTGGGTCACATTAATTAATTAATTATTAATTTTCAATAAATCATAACGACAGATTGATAAAAATCAACGGTTAGGATTTGATTATAAAAGGTTGAAGGCCAAAAAATTTATAAATATAACATTTCATTCCTCGTATAATATTTTGTCCATCTATTGAAAATTTGAAATGCACTTTCTAAAACTTTATGCGTGATTACCGCAGGATCTCGTTGATCAGCTAGATATCAGACATCCAATACAAATGTAATCACCGTTTGATCGATAAGATTAATTGATGCCTACAAAATGAATAATACTTAATGCTTAAAGATACAGTGTCACACATATACATTCTATTTGATTTGTTACAAATATATGGCTTGCATTGTTGCTGAATCTGGCCATAGGCAACAAGGTCACGCCTTGACGAAAGACAAGTATACAAACATAATTAAAAAATAGTAAAGGAAATTAATAATTGAGCTTGCGCACAGACAAATTAATAAGATCCAAACATCTTGATTACCAAAAAAAAATCCAAACATCTTCAGATCACAATTGCTCATATTTTGGTGGCGTGTCTGAATATATATATATATATATATATATATATATATATATATATATATATATATCCGTTTCCGAAATTCAGCAAGGCAGTTCTTCTGACATTGTATCACATCGTAATTTAAATTTTGTATTTTGTATTTTTCTATTTATGGTCAATGTGTAATTTTAGTTTTTAATAATTTTTTACGCGAACTTAATCTTTATATTTTTTTTGTTTATATAATCAAGTTCTTCTGATAATTTCTCTCTACCTAATATATATCCCTAATTTACTCAAATAATTAGGGATTTAGCTAGGATGGATGTAGGAAGGTAAATGATTTGAACTGTTCCAAATATCGAAATTTGATGAAACTAGAAAAATTATATGTAAGAAGCAAGGTTAAAATTTCGAAAAGGGAAAACTTTTTGGATTTTTTATTTTATTTTGAGTGAATTCTGATGTCTTGATTTGGGGGTTTTGAACGGATGAAAGTTAAAAATAGTTTAATCAGTTTAATTGATTTGTGGCTTTTTCATTAGGGGCACCAATTAATGAAAAATACTTACCCACCTAAAGTAGATTACCGATTGATCCAGCTCAATTGCAAAATATTTCAACCAAAGATATATTAGAAAACAGATTGTTTTGCCATTAACATGTGCATGCAAGTAGTCTGTATAAGTTATTGGGTTTGATCAATTGTTTTGTTAGTGCATGCTTGAAGCTTAGGATTTTGCCAAGTGATGGCATCTGGGGAAATTTAACAGTTTAAATATATTCCTTATCTGTGAAGTAATTGGAGGAAATTCAGTCCAATAATGTTTC